TGTACATATAACATATATTTGATCTTAGAATCTAATTTCATAACTATAGTTATATAATAATATAATATAGATTCGTCTTTGTTTTTTCATATAGATATAGACATAAGGATGAAAATTTTTATGCAAATGAATTATTTATAAAAGAGTTCAAAAGAATTTAGAAGTCAAATACTAATTATAAAAGAGTTTGAAGGAACTCCAAAGTCAAATTATGTATAAAAACAAAAAATATATGAAGATTTAAGGAAATAGTTAATTTTATAAAAATTAGGCTAACAATGCATATTTAAATAATATTTTTTTGTTACACTTATAAAAAATATAGATTATATGTGTAATGAAATTGAATAAATAAATTATGTGTCAGAGAATTAATTCTTATTTTAATTTCTACTGAACCTAGTAATTAATCTGTACACGTATTATACTGTAATTTGAGTTATTAGAGTTAATATTATAATTAAAGACCAAAAGTTATAAGAATAAATCTAGAGACCTAATGCTATATGATAAGAAGAGTTTTGATAGGACATGAAAGGAAAAGTGATTACATTAATAAGGATATGTGAGGTATGATTGACTTAACTTTATTAAATAAAGATAAAATTAAAAATAAAAAATTTTCATATATGTTAACATATAGATATAGATAAGTATTAATTAAATACTTTATTAATCTCAGCATTGTCCCTTCCTATCAAAACTCTTGTTATCATATAACATCATGTCTCTAACCATTCCCTCTACTTATTTTTATGGTTTTAAGTTTTTAATTACAATAGTAACTCTAAGAAATCAAATTACTGTATAATACATGTAAAAATTAATAACTAGGTTTAATAAAAATAAAAATAATAATTAATTCTCTGACATATAATTTATTTATTCAATTAAATTACACATATAATCTATATTTTTTATAATTTTAACAAAAGAATTTTATTTAAATATGTTCACGTGCAACATACGTCGTGTATTACTAACCTAATTTTTATAAAATCAATTATATTTTTATACCTTCATATAATTTTTATTTTTATACGTAATTTTACTTTCAAGTTTTTTTTAAACTCTTTTACAAGTAGTATTTCTTTTAAATTTTTTTGGACTCATTTCATATCTATTCCTATATCTATATGAAAAAAGCAAAAAAAAAATCTATATCATATTATTATATACGTATAGTTATCAACTTGATTTTAAGATCAAATATTTATTAATATGTCAAAAAAAATTTAATAATTAGGTTTAACAAGAAATAAAATATAGATTAATTTTTTAAGACCAAGTTTGTCATTTAATTTAATCGCACATAAAATAAATATTTTCATAGATTCAACAAAAAAATTATTATTTAAATTGTTCATGTGCAATGCACATCGTGCATTGTTAAAATATTTTAAATGTCGATTCAAATGTCATAATAAATTAAGTCATCAAATTAACTTAACAAATTAAATCCTTCTGGTTAAGTGTTGGCTTCTCTCATTTGCTTGTTCCAAGTATGATTCGCCGTATCGGCAACGATTAGGAGAGCACTGAGACGTGTTGGTCACGACGTAGTGAACTAATTCTAGGTAATACGTACAAAATGCTAAATAAAATAAGAAGTTAAACATGATCAGAGATTCAGTTTATATCATAGCGTTCCTAAATTAGCAGAAAGCTAAAGGTTGACACCCTGTAACCAATAATAAAAATATAATAATCCAAAGGATTTGTGTACTAAATAATATTTCTACAGGCCAAGCAGTAGAGGTCTCTCTCTCTCTCACAGTTGAATAGTTGAAGTTGACATCCTCCAAAGAATTGGTTAATTTAGCCAGTCAAGACAGCTAAAAAAAATTGCTAATAAATTTAGGGTTTGGCATGAAAAAGAATAATATTTTGATTTCATATATTATTACTCGAAATAATTTCTTCTATGAAGGCACTGCAATACTAAATATCGAATATTGATCTTTTAATATTTATACTTTAAATAATAATTTATTTATTTATTTATTATTTAATTATGTAATTAAAGTAAATAGAGAAAAAATAAGAGAGGGGGTGGGGAGAAAGAGGTTAGTGTGGATTAATGAGGTTGTTTGAAATTGGAGAATGTGTTGATTAAGTTATCTAACATTAGAGATTGTGCAGAAAAGATGATATTTTTAAGCCAAAAAAAGTTTATACTATTGGATCAAAGCAGTTGAAGATTGGATTAATCTTGACAAGTTGTTATGTTTTTATAAGTTAAAAATTTAACCTTTTAGTTGTAATAACTCTGTAATGCAAAAAATTAAGTATTCATCATACAAACTTATATTTTAAATAACAAATTTATATTCATCATATATTATTGATTTATGATATCACGTGACAATTTTGACATGTGATGTCACCGTTATATTGAATATTTTATCGGTCTTTTGAGCCTGAGGCGAAGATAATGTAATTAAATGGATAACAAACTTATTACTTGTTCCTATGTTTGCAAAGGATTCAACTATGGTAATATATATATATATATATATATATATATATATATATATATATATATATATATATATATTTTACTGTCCTTTGTTAAATTTTTTATTTTATTATTTTCACAATCAATTGTTACAAATTAATTAAATTAAAATTTATGAGTCTCCATTAATTTCAATATGGTAGCAAGAGGATGTAGGTTTATATTTGTGTGGCGTTATTTGATGAAATTATCATCATATTATAGATTCTTCTATATAACATTTAAATTATCAAACATAAAGAGGCATGAAGTGTAATTTTTGAAAAAAAATAAGGGCATGACTGATACTCGGTCCCCTTTACAGCATTGAACCGAACTGTAATTTTCCCAGCCCACCTCCTCCCTTGCAGATGCATCTTCTCATACCCATCACCCTTATACCACCCTTCTCTCTCCTCACTGGCTTTATACTCATCCCAAGTCTCAGAAAACTCCGACCCATCAGGTGGCACAGGAAGAAGCCCCATGAATGCAGCAAATGCGAAATCATGGTTCCCTGAGAGAAAAACATGGGATTGTTTTGGGTATTTTGATGGCAAAGAAATCAAAAAATCGATCACCTTTCGCGTATCCGGACCACGATCACAGTAATCACCCAAGAAAATAATCAGAGCTGTTTCGAAATCAGATGGTTCTATTAAGGTTTCGAGATTGGACCACAGTTTCTGGAGTTTGTGAATGAATCCATGGACATCACCTATACAACAAACTACTCTTTCTTTTGTGGGTTTTCGATCTTGAGCAAGACCCACTTTGCCTTCCATGCGTGTGTGTGTGTGTGTGGGCGGTCGCTGCCTGAGATGAGGAAATTAATTGTATCACAGAGAATGAGTCAGAGTGAAAGGTTGGTTGTCCAGCATTTCTTGTGAGCTTTATAGTCGCCAATCTGAGGTCGAGATAGGAAGTTTTGCAGTTAGTCCCTACGTTGTTGCCATGTTAAAAACTGGCACTCTGTTTTTGCTTATTTGAGAAAACATCCCTAACCCCTTTTTTCAGTTTATATTTAAACATCAGTGAGACGCCCCAACCATTTAATCACTATTTCTAACATAAAAAAAAATCATATAAAATACTAAAATTGCCCTTATATAAATCCCAAACATTCTATATAAAATTTGAACCCATTAAAATTTATTTTTTTACCTATTAAAATTTGAGTCGATTAAAATTTGATTTGAGCTGATTAAATTTTATTTTTTTTACATATTGAAATTCGAACCGATTTGAGCTCAATCTAAACTATTAGCGTTGATTAAAATTTGATTCGAATTGATTAAAATTTATATTTTTTTACTTATTAAAATTTTTACAAATTAAAAAGCAATTCAAATTAATTAAAATTCATTTTTATGTATTAAAATTTGAGTCGATTAAAATTCAAATTTTTTTACGTATCAAAATTCGAGTTTAATAGAATTCAATGCGGGTTGATGAAAATTTGATTTGAACCGATTAAAAATAAATTCTAATCAGTTTGAATCGAATTTTAATCTGCTTAAATTTTACTATGTAAAAAAATTTATAAAATAGAAAAAGTCTCATTGAAGATATGTCTATCTAGAGAGGGTATGAATGAAGTTTTTCTTAAAATATATCATGAATAATTTATAAAAATTGTATTCTAGTTAAGACCTTTAATTAGATGGATTGTGACTAAAATTTTCTCAAAATATTTTTATTAGCTAGTGAGTATTTGGTGTAGACATGTTGCCAATAAACTTTCATATGATAATAGAAAATTGGAGAATTTTTTCTACATAAGTGGATGACGAATCACGAAGATAAAAATTTCTGACGGACCATGTTTCTAGAAAAAATATATTTTTGAGGGATTCAAAGTAGGTGTGTGTGTTAACTTATATGTAAGTTGATCATTCCATAAAGAAACAAATTAGGCAAATAGGTTATTAAGCATGTAAGAAGATTTGAATGAGAAAAAAAAAAATTCTAGTTTTTTTTTTCATTTTGGTTGGAGGGAGGGGGTTGGAGAAAGGGTAATATTATTTTCACATGTAATTGAAAATCGATAACGCGACTCTAGTTTTAACTAATGAGAATACGAGAGACCTACTTTGATTATCCTGGTTTTCCCTTGGCCACAAGGAGAACATTTTCACCGTATTACAAAATTTGCTGGTCAGTGCGAAGAGATGCAATTTTGTAAAATGTTGTGCTCGGAGATGTTTGCCTGATCTTGCTCTTTTTGGTTGAATTGGGTGGCAAGTGACAATGTTGCCTTGTTTTAAGTGACTTATAATCCAGAACCATTGGTAAATAGTTCGTAGTTTGAATTGGGAAAACCAACAAATGAAAGTGTTTTCATTGAAAGGTCATAGACCATGTGCATACTTCCCCCCCACCCCCCAAAGCTATGAAAACTGGTTTCTGTCGTTCTTCAGAAATAATTGTTTCCCAGAACTATTTGAAGAGCTCTCTGTATTCACAACTATATATGAATTCATATATAGTTGGCACTTGCATAGTTTCTAAGTTGCAAAAACTGCAAATTCTTCATACAATCAAGATTCAAAAATACCTTTTTAACATTTCAAGTGTTCATACGCATTTATGATACATGAGTACAATCCAAACTCAAAGAATAGAAAGACAAGTATAAAGAGAATAATGAAAGGCGGTGCCACTGCGCTGGGGGGGGGGGGAAGGGGGAGGGAGGGTTGTTTAAAGAAGAGGCAACTGCCTTGTTTACACACTCTTGACTACCTGCAGAATTGAGTTCTTGGTGTATAGATAAATTCACATTACCCTGTTAGGTTAAAAATAGCTGGCTGGTTATCTCCTTTGGAAATTCAAGAACTTGATCCCATAGGCAAAGACAAAGAAGAAGAGAAGGACCCAACCAACATGGGCTACAGCGACGGCTGGAAGGAAACCATAGTCATAACCCAAGTTTTTTTTAAGGAAATCCTTCACTCTCATAGAATCAGTTCCGGGAACATCCACTGGAGTAGTTATGTCACCCACTTGTGAGGCCACAAGGCCATAAACTGTCCACGCGACGGGAGAAGCCCAATAGTACCACCTCCACCATATAGGTATTTGCTGTAATAACAAAAAAAAGTCAGTTTGGAAGATGAATGACATTCAAGTTTTCGAAACTGTATTGTAGTATTAAGAAAAAAAAATGGCCAAAAACATAACATACCGGCCTGGGAATGACGAAACCGGTAAACAAGTTCCAGAAGCTAAGAAAGAAGGACATCATAATGGCAGCAATTTGGGCACCTGGAGTAAGTGCAACAAGCATCATTCCGAAAATTGTGAAGTAGATGTAGCACATTGATATGTAGTAGTAGAACCAAAAGAATTTGGCCACTGTCCACTGGAACCCAATCATCGAGAACAGAAGAAGAGTGTACACCATGGTTTGGATTAAAACATAGACCGTTTCGATGGCCACCTGCATAACATACAGTGGTGTTATTTTGCAGTTCAATAAAAGGTTTCTGTATTGTCCTCAAATTACTAAATATTAGGGATAATGTTGTCACCACTTTAAATAAAGAATTTCATGTCTTTTAACTCAAAATATGAGCGCCTGCACATGGGAAAACAAGAACATAATAAGGTGGAATGTATTGTGTTTACCTGAGCAAATGCATAAGGCAATTCTGAATACATCCCGGCTGCCCTTTCACGGTAGAAAACAGTTCTCTCAATAGCCACAATTGCTTGCACTGTGGCAGCATTGGTGGATCCAAGAAAAAAAGTAGCGGAGTACATAGCTCCCAACAGATTCATTAGATCTTGTTGTTTTTCTCTGTTAACAAAGTTTTTGGTCAACTTGAGTAGAAGTATTAGGTTCTCTAAAACAAAGAACTATACTACAAAATACAATATAGCCTCAAAATAATAAAATATGGACTTACATTTTCTGGCCCTTGTTCCAGAATATAACTCCAAATAGAACACCAATGATAATTGTCATGAAGAACCGAATGGCATTGTACTGTGGGTTCCTCCAGTAAGACCAATGCTGTTTCCAGAAACTTGCTTTGCACTGAACAAGAAACGGTTGGGAATACTTGGTTGGGAAATATAGATCTTTGGAACCAGGTGGTGGCATACTAAGTTCTTCTATAAGTTCTTGATTCCTCCTGAAACAATGTCCAGTGGCGTAAATAAGTGAAAATTAATAAATCAGAGAACAGGTTAAGTAAACAAATATATGTAAAAGTGTATATATCTTTAACTTACTGATAGAGGGAGGAGTTAGCATAAATATCAGCAAAATCGACATCCAGTTGAGCCTCAACTGAAGGAGCACTAATCTCCAACATCCATGTGGCAGGGTTAGAACCTTCCTTAATCTTGGGAACACCTAGGACAGCCTGCAGCAAGTCGTAGATGTTATAGTCGATGCTGGGATTTTGAAAATTTAATTGTTTTAAGTATATTCTCCTTGAATTCCCAAGATGATCGAATAGTTGTTGAAGACAGAAAACAGTGTATCACTCCTAACTGTATGGTTTGTTTAATCAATGGAACTTAAAAGGAACAGTAGAAAATCATTTACTCACTTCAAAATATTCTATTAGCTTGTGAGACTGGCGACCTAGAGGCCCAGCATAAATGACTTGGCCTCCCCTCTTCATCAAAAGTAACTGCAACAACCACAATATTTAAGTACAAAAAATGCATGGCAAGGGTATTGAAAAGCGTAGAAATAACAATTTGCTTGAAGAAGATTAATTTACAAATCTTGGTCATACCTCGTCAAAAGCTTCAAATATATCTATACTTGGTTGGTGAATTGTGCACACGACCGTTCTTCCTGTATCTACTGTGTTTCTCACAGTACGCATAACAATGGCAGCTGCTCGAGCATCAAGGCCTGATGTTGGTTCATCCATGAAGATGATAGATGGGTTTGCAACTAACTCTACAGCTATTGTCAGCCTCTTCCTTTGTTCTGTTGAAAGACCGTCTATTCCCGGAAGACCAACTAAAGAGTTTCTTATTGGATTAAGCTCAACCAACTCCATCACTTCTTCAACGAACATCTGAGTTTCAATTCAACCAAATGAAAGTAAGAAATAGAGGATAATAATTTTACATTTTGTACCCATTATAATAGATTTCCATTAGGGGTTCCAACTAATCAAGGTCATACCTTTCTTGTTTTTGTTTTCACATCTGCAGAAAGACGAAGCCAAGCCGAGTAGAGGAGAGATTCATAAACAGTCACATTTGGTGAATGAATATCATTCTGTTCACAGTACCCGCTCACTCGAGCAAATGTTGCCTGGTTCTTTGGGTAACCCGAAATATTAATACTTCCTTCAATGTACCCACCAGTCTTTCTTCCAGCTAACACATCCATCAAGGTGGTCTTTCCAGCACCACTAACACCTACAAGTGCTGTCAGTATCCCTGGTCTAAAAGCACCACTAACATCTCGCAACAGTTGGAGACGATCTTCTTCAACCCCTTGACTTTTCATTTCCTGGAGTACAGCAAATTTAAACTCAATGATCCCTTGATACAAAAAGCAAAAACCGAAAAAAAAAATCATACAAAGATCATCATTCACATGTAATTCTACAACACAAAAAATCCTTAAGTTCATCCCAAAACCTTTTGAAGCCGCTTAATCAAAACAGAATACAGCATTGTTCAAAAGAAGATAAATTCTTGTTCTGATCTTCTGGGGTTCCTTACCGTAGAATAGGAATAGCTGATAAGATATATAGGGATAGAGTTCTATGCTAGTTTAACAAACACTGCAATCGTCTGATTTAATATAGAGTTTTCAAGCACAGGTATGAGAAAAATGAGGTGAATCACTATACTGAAGATATCGTGTTGCAAAGATTATATAACACCACTCTTTCACTTTGCAAAACATTCTGTTTACCAAGTCAACAAAAGGAAAATAAATTGAAAAAAATAAGAAGTAAAAAATTTCCATGCGCTCCTAGAGAATGAAATGTTTGAAAGGAATGACTTACAGCAGGCATATCAACATAGTAGTTGATATGGTTGAAAGCAAGTGAAAGGGGTTGGAAGGGCAAAACCATTCCTCTTCTAGGTGCATGATCCGCAACACCAACAATTGAGCTTGTACCAGATGAAGCATTTCTCACATCCATATCAATGCCTGTAATTATTCTTAAGATGTTAGACCAATAGAAAACGACAAGAAATTCATGATATTTGCATATAGCCTTTTGTCCTGGCAGTATTGTGTGGATTTGATCAGTTTATAGCCTGAAATAAGAGGCAGAGCACTCCATGGAAAGAAATCATCATTCTATTCTACAACCAAACATCTATACATAATCTAATCTTATGCGTAGCTTGATAAAGATTGAATGGAAAACTAGAGACAAAAGGATGATCAAGAACACAAGCACAGCGTACACCCAGAGACCAAATGCTTCAAAGGGCTAAATCTTGTCATAGATTCTTGGTTGATTATGATGACTTGGCAACCCCCATATTTATGGGATGTAACTCACTGTAAGTATATCATCATGAAAAGGGGGGCAGTGGAGGGGATGGACATCAAAGCTCTTTCAATAACTAATAATTTCGACTTCAAATTTAAATCCTCCAATCTGCACGAGGAATGCAAAGAAGAAATAATCAATATATGCATTAATAGGTAAAGGAAAGGAAGCAAACCTTCGTTTGCCTCTGTTCTATTTTGTCCAGAGGATGATCTCTTTTTCTTTTGGTCATCATCATCCATCACTACAGCTTTTGCATCACCCAAAGCTGAAAATGAATTTAAGGGGAAAGAAATTCATCAGTCTTGGATTCTATTTTGAAATATAAAACTCAAGTACTATCAGAGACTGCCTTACGATTTAAGAAAGTCAGTGCGGCTATAAATAAAATGTTGAAGAGAATGGAGAACCCTATGAGTGCTGCAATACAGATCCAAAACCAATATTCATCTGTATAGAAGCCTCTTGACTTGAGAATGGCTTTGCCCACCGTAGGTGCATGAATTTGGGAATCTGTATTGTTCTGCATTAAAGAGAATTTTGATGAGGAGCTTCTAGGTTCAGTGCAATGGGAAGCAACAATTAGAGATAATAAAAATTTAAACCAAAAAGGATAAGGCAAGGTTCATAAGGGAACTCCTTAAGATCACTTACAGCACTCCATCTTTTGTCAAGAAATTCATTAATGACTATGGCATTTTGTCCATACATCATAGGAGAAACATAATACCCCCAAATCATCCATGTCTGGATATCATCTGCACGAATAAAGGAAAATGTGTGATTCGAATTTCCATAGCTAAAACCATACAATCACACCAAACATTCCAAAATGTTGCTTCAAATATAAAACAGCATCCAGCAATAGAGTGTACTTAAATATGAAGACCTTAACCCCTTGTTTTGATTACAAAGAAGTATCAAAAGAGTATAGAGATGAACAACTTACTTTTGGCAACTATGAATCCTCCAAGCACAAATACAATTAGCAAGGTGAAAGTACCCAATGTGGTTGCAACGACCTGTGTTCTTCCCACCGCAGCAATGAATCTAAAGAGCGAGAGAGCCATCTGATGTATACCAAAGAACGTCAAGAACTGCTTGAAGAACCTGAACCAGATGAGGAGATGTGTCAGTGCAACAAATTTTAGTTCAGTACGACTAAAATTTTTAGATCAGCGAACCTAGCTCTGATTCACCACCCCAGAGAAAATAATACATTAATAACAGAACATGAGAACCACTTTTACCTGCTGGCAGCTGGGGCAAATCCAATTGTGTAATATGTGAGAACAATCCATATCGCTGATTCATATAATGATATTGGTATCCTGAGGAGCGAAATTGGCAAACCAAAAGCCCATGCTGGATAGAACAAGAAGTCCCTTTGTTTATAGAAGACAGGAAGCCTGAAAACAGTCATCGAAAGTTCGGCCATTCCATTAAACATTACATTGATGAGACTGAAAAATAGGGCTCCATAGAATTTCCCTCCATCTGCTATAGTGCCAGTAGGCATTTCTGTTCTCAAGAACACAGTCAAGGCTATTAGAGACATGACTGTTATTTGAAATGTTTTGAAAATGTATACAAATGAGTTGCGCTTCATCAACAGCCACTCCCTGGCAAAGCACGCCTTAAATATCTCCCAGTTGGAGATTCCATATTTGTCTGTCACCAATGCAGCTGGGTGTGTTCTGGATTTATCATAAGGAACACTAAACTCTGTTGCAAGCTGTTCGCCAATGTGGAAAGAGTTGAACGCCTGTGCAAATTCAGGGACTGAGATATATCTGTAAGGTCGGTTCTTTCTGAACCAATATTGTTCTTGGTCTTTCTTTGAAGTCACTTCTTGGAGAAAGTCAGCAACTCCTTTCCTTTCCGGGCATTTGAAACCCATGTACTCAAAGAATTCAAGAACATTATCACGCGGACCTTGATAGACAATTTGACCTTCTGACAGCAAGATAATGTCATCGAATAGATCATATGTCTCAGGGGCTGGTTGCAGGAGCGAAATGATCATGGTCACATCCATAATATGAACCATTTGCCTCATATGCTTAACAATCTGGAATGTAGTGGAACTGTCCAATCCGGTTGATATTTCATCCATAAAAAGAGCTTTTGCTGGCCCAACCAACATCTCTCCTGCACCCAGTTCAATCAGAACATACTAAACCAATAATGATCAGTCACAAATGCAAAGAAACAAGTGCTAGCAGCTCCTCATTACATCAAACACCAACCCCAAAATACAAAGAGAATGGGCGCCTTTTTCTTTTCTAATTTTGTTACGAACATTACAGTGCGCATGTATAAATCATAATATATGTGAACTTGTATGAAATTGTTAGAAAATAACTAAAATTACAATTGTTGCATTCAATTTAACATATTCAGATTCTCTTCCTTGATCGGACAGGAAAACCTTAAAAGGCACATAAGACCAACTAAAAAGATAATAGATTAGACAATCCTAATTTAACAAATCAGCACATCAAAAAATTTTCCACTTTCTTGGCCAAATCTCCTAAGAACATACCAGTAGTCACACGCTTCTTCTGTCCACCAGAAATACCTCTTCTCATATCATCACCAACCATGATATCCGGACAAATATCCAGTCCAAGTATCTGTAATAAACGTTCCAAGCTGTTAGTTTTTAAAAAAAAAAAAATTTGAATCCAAAGATGGGAAAACAGAGGTAACAACTTGATACAGAAACAACCAACCTTGAGAACATAGTCTGTCACCAAACTTGTTTCTTGGCCTGTTACAGCTGTAGCCTTCATGAATGCATCAATCTCTGGGTCTGGTTTGATTCCTGCTTCTTTCTCGCGTCGAGAGAGTTCTGCCAGCATGTCATATCTCGTGCCAACCCCAAAACAGCGTCCTGAAAAATCGAACGTCTCTCTCACTGTCATCTCTCCATAGTGAAGATCATGTTGACTAATATAAGCACATGTCCTCCGAGGAACAAACTCATGCAATTCATGGCCACAGTACGTGACTTTCCCCGCTAACTGTCCATTGATTCAAGTTAAAGTCAAGCAGAGAGGAGTATGATAAAACATGACCATTTTAAAAGGCTAAACACACATGAGAAACAAATATAACGATCGAGAATAAAGGGTATACGTATACCCTGAGATCCTTATCAAGCTTCCCTGCAAGTGCCAGCAACAATGTTGTCTTCCCTGCTCCTGGAGGACCCAAAAGCAGTGTCATCCTGAAAATCAACAAAACATTAACTAAAACTTCGAAGGCAGTGACAGAAAACAATGAACACCAGCAACATAATAACATACTTTGTCAATATGAAAACATCACAAATTTGTGCCTGAAAATGACCGGAAAACTGTAAAGAATACAAGAATTAACACAAAGATACCTTGATGGTTTGACAATTCCGCTGACATCTTGAAGTATCTTGATTTTTTTCTTTTTAGATGGGGCAAGATGAATTAGTCCCAGAACGCTCTATTTTCCAAAACAGGCCAAACATAGAAACAAAATCAATTAACAGCAAAATCACAAATCAAGTAAGATCAAGAGGACCGTCGACACACTCCTTTGCGAAACTGAAGAATTCTACTTGTGTCACACTCCCAATCACACCATATAGAATTGTTATTATTAATTTGTACTACCTTTATTTACACCAAAAATAAGAGTGAAGACAACAAGATCACTTACAAACAAATTAAATCTTTTAACTAAAAAAGGGTAAAACATAACAAATCACCTCAATTGTGTTTATGGTAGCATTGAGCAAAGTGGGAAGTGCTCTGCTCCCAACATATATTTCTCCCTCCACTGATAAGTGCTCATACCGGACTTCAATCTTTGGTGTCTCAATTCCAACCCTGTACCACCAAATTTAGTAACTTAAACAACAATACTTAAAACACCCAACTCTTATTTTCATGAATTATAACAAATTTCAAGAACCATATCTACATATATATTTTTTGGTTTTACCACTTATGACTAATTTCTATTCTAATCCTGTCAAAGACACACGTCTACGCCAAGACTAAGATATTATAAATCATCATGGCCCGATTTCAAGGAATTTTCATTTCGGGCCAACATCCAGACTAAAATTTTATAAATTATTATGGTCTAATCCAAAGAATTATTTCGAAATTGGAGATACTGATGTTATGATAAGAGAGAGAGAGAGAGACTCACCTATCGGTCCGGTCCCTCAGCCTCCGGAGGAACTTTTCATTATCGTCTTCAACAATTTTTAATATACTCTCCATCAACTGCTTCTTATCTTGCATTCCAAGATTGGTGACATCAACTTCACCAGTAACAATCCTTCCATTATCAAGAACTTGCCTTAATATCCCCTTTCTCATCCGGTCATACGTGGGTAGCTTCTCGATGGCAGCCCACCGGAGCTCCTCCTCATCGTTGGGCTCCTGTCTTCCACTCCGGTTGAAAACGTCCGGCGGAGCCTGCCAGACCTCCCGGAAACTCGCCGAATTCCAGCTTCTCTTGCTGCCGGAGTTCCAACTCCGACTACTTGTTGATCTTGCAAGATCATCACCGGCCAGCGCCGCCGCCGCCATTTTTTATCAACCACAGATAAACCCACTTATGTAAACTGCTACTTCACAAGTCTTTATGGATTCCCAACGTAAAGATGGCCTCTTTCATTAATGTGTGATTGAAGTTTTGAACTTTTTCTTCTTCTGGATAATCAGACCTGCTTATCTCTTCTTCATGGGTATAGCACAAGATTGTACCATTGTGTTAGTGCATCACTGGCTAGATGTTACCGGAATAACTGGGCCTTGAATCCACCACCTCAGAACCCAGAGAGAGAGAGAGAGAGAGAGAGAGAGAGAGAGAGAGACTGAGGAGAGAGTGAACTTGGGAGGAATTAAAATAGGCAAAAATGGGTGGCCAAATATTCAAAGTTGTTGGTCAATTGGGGATTAAGTATGTTGATCAGACTTGGTGGGCTCTAATAAATTTAAAAAATACCAGAAACTTCAATGAAAAAGAGAGATTAATCAGTGCCCTTGTAGTTTAGGGAACCAATCTTGTCTGTCCACAGTCGTATAATACAGTATTTTTCAGGTATTTTATAGTGCAACAGTTGTTTGATTAAGGTCTTATTTAGGAAATTTTTATGAATATTCTATATATGATTGCCGGTGGTGGTAGGAACGTTTCTGTCTGTGTATGCTCAATCATTGTGTATTGGGTCAAGATTATTTTGTTGAAATTGGCCAATAATCTAGAATGGAGGAACACCTAGTTTTAATACTGGCGTCACAACAAAACTCTATACACGCCCCACATTTAAGAAATCCTGAGTAGTTCGAGCGTGGTTGAATTTTAACTCATTGAATTATAAAATTAATTAAATTTAGGGTTAATTGTACCGAAAGTCTCTAAAATATGAAATTTGTCTTATTTTGGTCCTCAATATTTTAATTGTATCATTTTGATCCCTGAAAATATTGAATATGTTCTCATGTAGTCCCTCAAGTAGATAACATCTAAATTACTATTGATTTTTTTAAACTTATCACGTGATAATTAAATATGGGTAATAAATAATTTGAGCAGCTCCGGACCAAAATTTAGGTATCTCTTAACAAAAAATAAGCAATATGTGTAACTATTTATTAAAATTTGGTTAGCTCATGATTAAAATTGTGTAATTTGAATAACTCTTTTAAACTCTATACTTTGAGATTATCTGGTACAATTAACCCTTAAATTTAACCAAACTCTAACTTCCTTATGCAAATGAATCAAATTTGATTAATACGTAAATCGACTCGACTTGAATAAGGTTTTTTTTTTCATAAATATTTTTAAAATTTTGGACCGCAAGAAAAATAGTTTTACACTCTCAGAGATTTTTATATAGAATTTGATTGTTTAACGATTGATATTAAGTTATAAGTTTTAATATTTAGAATCTTTTGCTGAGAAATTAAGTCCCTTTTGACTTGAGTTTTGCTTGAATGTTTTGTAAATTTTTGTTGAGTTGAGCTGAATTTAAGCAATAGTTTAAGTTCAATCAATCACACGAATCGAAACGGTGATACCATATCAATATTAATGATATAATATCACCAACTAATAATAAAACTCTACATAATAAAGTGAAACTTATTTTGATAGTTATTGACTTAAATAAAAGAAGAGTGAATAATTATTTATTTATATAAACGGGTAATTATTGGTTTATGTGAGGTTAATTTTTTTATTTATCTGTATATTATTGATTAATGATACCACATGATTATGCCGTCGTGGTTACAATGAATATTTTTTCTTTCTTGACGGTTCCCTAATCTGGCCGTAGTAGATAAGAGTTGATATAGTCATCATCAAGATTCTTCATATAAAAAGCCCCCAATCCTTTTTTTTTTTTTTTATAGTAACAGCAAAATCCCAATCAAACTGATTAAGTTTAATAAGCTCAGCTCAATTAAAACTTGGCCATAGTGGGGGAGGTGCTTCTACTAAGTGAAATATTGGAAGTTGACATAATCCAAACGATTTAGTTTTTAGGGGCGGTTTGGTGATTGAGTCTAACATTTGGTAATTTAGAAATCTCAAGTTTAATATTTTTCATACCTCCTAAACCAGTCACTCTTATTCTTCAGAGGACATATTTTAAACTCACTCAACCTACGGTAATCAATATTCAAGTTCGAGAGAGTAGAAAGCTAAAGATTGGACATAATAATAAAAATAATAATAATCATCCAAAGGATTTGTGTACTAATTAATGTTTCTACATGCCGAGCTGTAGAGGTCTCTCTCTCACAGTTGAAAAATTGAAGTTGACATCCTCTAAAGAATTGGTTAATTTAGCCAGTCGAGACAGCTAAAAAACATTGCTAATAAATTTAGGGCTTAGCATTAAAAAGAATAATATTTTGATAGCATATTACTCGAAATAATTTCTTGTTTGAAGACACTACAATACTAAATATCGAGTATTGATCTTGTAATATTTATACTTTTAAATAATAATAATTTATTTTTTTATTTTTTTATTTAATTATGTAATTAAAGTAAATAGAAAAAAAATAAGAGAGGGGGTGGAAATAAAGAGGTTAGTGTGGATTAATGTGGATGTTTGAAATTGGAGAGTATGTTAGTTGAGTTATCTAACATTGGAGATTGTGCAGAAAAAAAATGATATTTTAAGCCAAAAAAAAATTTAAAATAAATTTTATACTATTGGATCAAAGTAGTTGAAGATTGGATTAATCTTGACAAGTTGTTATATTTTTATAAGTTAAAAATTTAACCTTTTAGTAATAATAATTTTGTAATGCAAAAAATTAAGTATTCATCATACAAATTTATATTTTAAATCATAAACTTTTTTATTTTTTCTTTAATTATATAATTTAAAATTAAAGTAAACAAAGAAAAAATAAGAGAAATATATTTATTATCTGACATTGAAAAATGTATTGGTTTAGTTGTTTATCATTGTTGGATGTGTAAAAAATATGATTTTTTGAGTGAGATTGTTTTTTGGATGGATTTTATTTTATTGAATTAAAGTAGATAAAAATTAGATTAATTTTGACCGTTGTCATGTTTTCATTAGTTGAAAATTTAACTTAACCCTTAGAGTTGGTTTAGTGGTTGAGTATAATTTTTAGTAATTCAGATATCTCAAGTTGAATTTCTTATCATATTTACGAAGAGTTAGTCACCATTGTTCCTTAAAGGACATGCTCTAATACAACTCAAATTACGGTAGTCAACTGTTAAGCTCAAGAGAGTAGTTAGCGTAAGTCTAAACACCGTGTAACAAAAAAAATTGTGAGATTTGTAATATTATATGTTATTTAATAAAAAAATATGATATTGGTAATTTTTTATTATTATTATTATTATTTTTATAATCAATAGTTACAAAAAATAAAATAAAATTAAATACTTCTACAGTATTTTGAGATATGTTACAAACTATTCTTTTTTTTTTTTTGGGCCACTAGTGGAATTTATACTCCTGGTCAATTTCAAAACGATGAGGACATAAATAAGGAAATTCCAACTTCCAAGCCCGTGCGGTCTGCAGTCTTCTGGCCGATGCATTGAATATTTATTCTGACGGAGTAAATATTCAATGCAATTAATCATATCGGTATTATCAATTAATAAAAAATATTAAATGGATAAAGAGAATTAACTTGAGTTATTATAGATTTAACATTGACGGGTATTTATTTACTTGTTTACATATTAGTATTAATTCGTGATATCAAGTGACAATTTTGACATGTGGTATTTTCGTTGCATTGAATATTTTATCGGTCTTTTTGAGCCTGAGGTGAAGGTAATGTAATTAAATGGATAACAAATTTATTACTTGTTCCTATATATGTTAAATTTTTTATTTTATTTTATTATTTTCACAATCAATTGTTACAAATTAATTAAATTAAAATTTATGAGTCTCCATTAATTTCAATATGGTAGCCAGGGTGTAGGTTTATATTTGTGTGGCGTTATATGATGAAATTATCAAACATAAAGAGGCATGAAGTGTAATTTTTGAAAAAATAAGGGCATGACTGATTTTAAGAAAAATTTAACAGAGTTGGTAGTGAATTAGTTGGTGAATGCATTTAATTCACTAAATAAATGGACCAACATGAATTCTACTAAATATGACTCAAATTTAATACACGCAACCAGAACTCGTAAAACATTATTCATATAGTTAATGGGTGTGACACTATATACGAATTTAAATGTATTGCGTATATATGAATTATACGGTTCAAGATTCTTTTTAATATATTTCTTTGTTTAATTTTTTTTAAAAGATTATTCGTTATTAATGAGTAACAGATATACTTGTATATAAAGAGTTTCACTTGAAAAGTTGAAATAATAAATAATTCAATAAAAAAAATTAAAGTAAAAATATTTTGGGTAACGTGCTACTATTTATCACTCTTGTTCTAATATTTGATAGGATCTACGATCAATTCAAAGGTCACAGTAAATTAGATCAAAATTTTAAAATCCCAATAGAACTACTCTTTTTTTATATACACCCCGTAGTTTAAGTAAGCAAAAAATTCAACGTCTTCTAGAAGAAAATGCACAAAAACTACTTGGTAAGCGAGCCAACACACAGAGACAAGAATCAGAAAAGTGGATGAAAGTGAATTCCAACGACTTTAATGGTTTTTCGAAGAAAGGAAAATGCCATATGATTACTAAACTTTTTTTTATCAAATTATTTATTTCAAATAATATGATATAATCTTCATCATTAAATATTAATAAAATTTATTTATTTAATGATAAAAAATTATGTCAAATTATTTAAAATAAAAATTTAATAAAAAAATTTGATAAATATAATATTACCCGACAAGCAATCCCACAGTGAGAAGCAGTTTAAAGAGACAGTCACAGTCACAGTAGGAGTATGGTCTCTTTTGCTTCAATGGTGGTGTAGCTTGACTCCTTTAATGAGCTCAGCTGGACTGCCATTCTTGTATTCCACGCCTTTAATTAGTAGTCTGCCTTTCTTTTGTCCCTACCTTAGCAGTTAGTCTTCAGAAATGTGCACACCAGACATCAGGCACACTTGATTGATATTAAAGTCCACATTGGAGCTCAATTACTACGATCTGTTTGGTAGGAGAAATGAAATAATTGAGAGAGAAAAAAATACGCGGGATACTCTATCTCGAAGGAAAGAAAGAGATTTTTCGTATTTTGTGTTTAGTAAAAATGATGAAAAAAATAGAAAGAATAAAATTTTTATTATTTTATTTAGTATAAAAAAATAATAAAATATTATTACTAGTGAAATATCAAAAATACCATTAACAGAATATAAATAAT